CTAAACCGGAACTTACTAGTGCGGGTTAAATGGTTTTCCTTATTGTTTGGTCAAACTAACTCCTTATTTTTTTATGGAAATTACTGAGAGTTCATTAGGCAAGTGCTTTTAAACGACTGAAAACACTTTTAGATAAAATATTTTTGGAACCAAACCTTAGTAAAAATGCAAGTTAATTATGGAAAAGCACTTAAAGTGCTTCCAACAAGAAGCATGTAACATGTGCTATTAGCATGAAGCACTTCAAGTGCTTTAAAACCAAAAACATTTTCTCTAAAAGCGCTTTCAGTCATATAAAAGGACTTGCCAAACGAACCCTAAATTGGTTTTCCTAATTGAAATAGGTTTAACACATATGTGACTTGCTCTCCAAGTAACAACAAATCAATCCCTTCCCTCCCTTCCCATATATACCCACTCAACCCCTTCATATTCTTTTCGTCTCTCAAAAGCAAACTACAAAAGCTAGCAAAACCATGTCTTCTTCTGAAGTAGGGCTTAATCATGCGAATGAAATGGCAGAGGCATCCGCTATCTGTACGGCGACGTCTGGTGGAGTCCCCGGCGTCAGTACGTACGAGGGTCTACTAATCCGGGGACTAGTGACAGTGTCAATGAAGATCTCCTAGCAGCATCCAAGGTCGAGGTAGACACCATGATGAAAGTTGTTGTCAATCCTGACAATCACCAAGAGTGTTCTATATGCTTGGAAGAGTTGGAGGTTAATATAGGACATTCGACTTCATCTGGAGAAAAACGTGATCAAACAGACGAATTTTGATGTGTTTCAAATTAGAGGACGCTCGTGAGTCCCTTGGCTTCTTCGTGTCCAAATGTCAGCTTTTTCTTATTTTCTAGTGATGAAATAAAGAAGCAGTGCGTGATGCTGAAAAGTGACGTTTTTGGGCTTAATTGCGATTTTTGGATCCCAATATGACCTCTATTGGGTGGCCTTCTGGAGAATTGTTCATAATATTCCAAGCTAAGGGACTTTGAACACTTCTTTAGAAGGCCACAAACTCAACAAAGGCCATCTTAGGCTAAAAAATCGCAATTAAACCCAAAAATGTCACTTTCCTGCATCGCTCGCTACTTCTTTATTTCATTGCCAAAAAATAAGAAAAAACTGAAATTTTTGATACAAAGAAGCCAAGGGACTCACTAACGTTCTCCAATTTGAAACACTTCAAAATTCGTCCGATTGATCACGTTTTGCTCAAGAGGAAGTCGAATGTCCTATATTGGAAATATAGTGCAAAGTATCAAAACTAAGATTATGACAAAATATATAGTATAAGATCGACTCATTAGAGGTGCCAAAGTCACCGTGATGCCTTGTGACTGCGCACGGTGGTTTTCACTCTTTTTGTCTCCAAGACTGGTTGCCCAAAAGTGCTTCTGCCCGCTCAGCAGGTTTCCGTTAAGCTGATCATCCCCAACGACAACCAAGATGAAGCCGAAGACGACGACAACATGAATCACATTAGATTATTCTGCATGTACAATTTCTTTTTATTCATAACACAAAATTATGTTTGTTGCCCTTTGTGCTACAATATATATATATCCATATTTCTCAAGGTGTGACTTGCAAATTTTTTTGTAAAATTCAAGAACACGTATTAACAAAATATGTTACTTCTTTAGAAATCATTTTTAGTTAAAAGCACTTCTACTAAAATGCTTCTATCTAGAACTACATCAAAATTTTAACAGAAAAGCAAGTTTTATTGAGAAAGTACTTAAAGCGTTTCTTGAAAGCACGTGCTTCTTTAAAAAAACATTTCAAGTGTTTTTCTTTTTATTTTTACTTTTTAATTCAAAAGCACTTTAAAAGTGTTTTTAGTTATTTTAAAAACATTCCAAATATGTTCATAAACCCTGAGGACTAATTAAAATGAAAAGATTAGTCCAACCACATTGGCTTCAGTTGTAAATGAACCACTCTATATGTAGATTATAAGTTCTTTTTCCTTCCTTATTTACTTTCCTCCAAAGCAAGGCAAATTGCCTCTAATTAATTAATCATCCACAAATGTAATTTTGAGATGGATCCGTTGCTTCGACACCTCCTTCTCCCATGTTAAACTTCTAACAATTTATTTGTGCTGATTTACAAGTTTTTCATCTTTGTAATTGGGCATGAAAATTGTTATTTTGTGTGGAAACACACACATACCGACACACATATATTAATCATATATGTTTTCTACCCTAAAGCTTTTATGTATCCTTCTCTTTCAAGTTTTGGAAAAATTTAACAACGAAGCATATGTATTTGCCACGGTAAGTTCAAAGTTCAAAATTTAACAACGAAATATAGTGCTCTTGGATGACCACAGTAAGTTCAAAGTTCGTTTTTCATTTGAATTTTATAAGTGTGGTTTTTGTAGGAACTTTTCCAATTAAGGTTGTAAGGTTGTTCAAGAATCAAGTTAGGATTAAGATTGTAATATCTGGTTAATTAATACTTAAGTCTACAGATACATGGGAACCTCCATAATACATACTCCTACATTATGCATATACTAAAACCCAGTTTTTAAGCACCGTTCATTAACAGTGAAAGGGCAAATATGCCCTCGGTTTCTGCTTGGTTACCTGTTTTGATACCCCATTTGTGTAGTGAAATGTCAGTAATGCCCCTCATTTGGGTTTCTGCGTTGGTTCTTTGGCCAGTGTTACAACCACCCCTTATTTCCATTTTATTTCTAATTTCCCCTAGAACATTTCAAATCTATCCATTTAATCCCTTATTCTCTTTTAATCCTAACCGTTGATCTAGATTCCATATCTCTCCTAAACTGCCGCATGGCACGTCCTCAACTCTTTTCTGTTTCCCCTCTGCCGGAGTCTTCCCTCTCAGACATCTCTCTCTCTCTCACGGGATCTCTCTTCTCTCCATTTCTCTCCCTGCACCGTGACTAACCCAGGAAATCTGCATGCAACTCTAGTGTAGACCATCTTCATCATCATCTCCGTTGCACCATATCTCTCTCTCTCTGTCGCTGTGAGGTCGAGGAACTCAGAGAAAGGACCTCCGACGGATCCCTCCATTCTTTCCGGCTAGGTAAGTTTGTTTACCTTTTTAATTTACCATTTTGGTTGCTGGACGTTGTGTGATGAAAACTATGTTGTTCTTCCAAGGTTTTGAGGACGATAATGGCACGGGGGAAACTCACCCATATTTTCCGGCGAACCCGTGACCTTTAAGGGTTTTTCAGAGCACTCATGACCGTTTCACGGCGAAGAAAGGGTATGGAAATACTCTACTCTCTTTCCTCTTCATTTTGGTGTATAGTTTGAACCCTAGTTTGCTAGGAAACTTACGGCCGAAGCTGTAGCAGTTCCGGTTTTCTCTTCCGATCAGCACGGAGGCCCTTCAGGCAGCTTAAGACACACACGGGCTTTGGGCCCGTAGACAAAACCCAGCCCATTTCTTAATATTAATTTCTATTATTTGTTTTAAAGGCCACAAAGTCTTGGGCCTTTATTATTTACAGAGGGTTTGAGGCCCGGCCTTGTGTGTGAGGCCTTTGGGCTGTGCAGTGCGTGAGTGTGTGTGTGTGCATGCCGTGCATGCGTATGCATGCTGTACATGTGTGTATGTTTGTGTAGTGTGTGTGTGTGTCTGTGTGAGTGTGTGTGGTGCACATGTGTGGGTGTGTGTGTGTGGGGGTTTGGCCTTAAACCCAAACCATTATTCTTCACCCTAAACCCTTTTAACCCATTAGACCCTAACCCATCCAACCCAAATCCTTTATTTTATTTAGTTCAAGCCCAAATCCTTTAGAAAATCCTTTTATTTATTTATTACATTTTTGTGCTTAGGTGAAGTTGCTAGTAAGGAAATTCTTAATCCTTATCCGCACAACTCTACTGCTAAGGAGTATCTGTGAGTGGACCCTTTCTAAAATTTGCATAATTTCATAGTTCAAATGCATAAATTAAACGCATGCCTTACGAGTTTATGAACTGATTTTTATGTTAAGCATGTTTATGAAATATGTTGTTTATCGTCTCGTTTTTTGTGAGAAATTAATTGTTGGCCTATATTGAGCTATATTTTAATATATTGTATTTTCTATAAAAACCATGAGCTGGTAGACTATCTGATGGATGACAATAGGATGCTAGAACATGTTTTAGAAACCCTTCTTTATAGTATATACGATGGATGACTTTATACTATAAAGTTGTTATTTATGAAAGGCGTAACTATTTATGCGTGCTTAGTGGACACTATGCCGCCTGGGGCGAGGATTTGGTGTTGGCAGATAAGCCGGAAGAAATAATCTCTAGCTACGGGCTGAGGGACACGGAGCAGGCATTAGGCCGGGAGGTGGTAATCTTTGGCTACAGGCACAGAGACCACAGTGCTGGCATAGGGCCCGGAGATATATTTAATTCAGTGATCTTACTAGTAGAACATTATGCTACGAGATGATTTATGAGACGTTTGATATTTTGTGTTTCACGATATGTCTCCTGAGATATTTTTGGCATGCTAGGATTTTCATTAAATCTATCACTTATTATGCTAGTAGTTTTCTTTATATAAACTGTGGGAGTTAGTATCTTAATAACTGTTTTATTATTATTGTACATATGAACTTGGTCCACTCACCTTTGTTTTGCGCCCCCATTCAGGTCTTAGAAACGAAGACTACGACACGATGTACGAGGCATTCACCTACCAGTAGCAATCTATCACCCACTTGTGTGATATCTGTAATGATCTTTCCTTTTGTCAATCTTGAATTAGATCGTGTTCTGTATACTCTAGACATTTCCTTAAACTTTGTTTATTACTCTTAGATTCTAATGACAATTCATGCTTATGTTCCTCCTAATCATTACTCTTGTAATCAATAAATAACTTTCGTCACCCTTAGGTGTCGGCCAGCACGTGCCTATCCGGGTATTAAGAGAATATTGGGGTCGCGACATGTTAGCCAGCCCACGTGTCAGTGATCGTAATCTCTTGTGTATATGTATAATTTTCTCCGTTTTTCCTCCCATTTCCCATTTCTCTCTGCGTTTCTATCACTTTCAGACCTCTCTTTCTTTCCTTTTCAAATCTCAGCTTCGGTTGGTTGCCGATTTTTGTTGGCTCACTTTTGAATCTTGCTTTATGTCCTTCTCAGCTGTTCGTTTGCTCACTGAACACCAAATCAGTGTAATGTTCTTCAACTTTACAATTTTCTTTTGTTCGAAACTACGGGTTTGATTTCATTAGATTCCAAAATTTAAATCTTTGTTTGGCTCAACTTTTAAACCCAGATGGTGTTATGGCTTTTGATGAGTGATTATATCGTAGAAACCAAAATTATAGGGAGAGAGAAACGACATAGAAAGGATGGAAGATAGAAACGGGTACGATGTTTTGTATTAAATTTTTTTTCAAATCGATTTGGGGTTTGGTTTGGGTTTGGTGATGATGGACTATTGACCTGAACAATTTGGTAAAACATTCAACAGGAGGCAACCAATTTGATTTGTTGTTTTTCTGTTTAAAATTGAAGAGTCTTGGTTAATTTTGGTAACAAAGAGTGTCTTTTATACCAATTTGTTCCCTATTTCTACGATTTTGTTCGTGGCCTTTTGAGATTTATGATTTGGTTTTTTTTTTTTTTTTTTGTGAACGGTTTGTTTTGTAGGTTTCATTTATACAAATGTGAGGTTATACAAAGGTGAGGACAACTTGGCTACTACATCATTTCTTGCTGCTTGAGGGTAAGATTTAGCTGGTTAGGTAGTGAGTTGCAAAGTTGTGATGAGATCTTAAGTTAATTTTTAATCAATGAATTTGAGAGCATCTTTATCTGTTTATTTTGTCATGTTCTGTTTGGATTGGATTTTAGGCGCCGAAAATTATGAGCTAAATTTTATTTTGAAATGGGAAGGATAATTTATATGATCTTTGCTTGATATTGTTGAATTTGGCATTTCCTCCTCATATGAAACATTTCGCATTGTTTTTGCTGTAAAACTGGGTTATGTGTCGTGCTATAACAATGATAACAAAAAGTAGTCGTCCGATGTTGATTTCATAATTGTTAACCTTTGCATGTTTTTTTTAATTTCAATACATTTTGTTTCTTGCTCAATGTTTTTGCTGTAAAATTGGGTTATGTGTCGTGTTATAACAATGATAACAAAAAGTAGTCGTCCGATGTTGATTTCATAATTGTTAACCTTTCCATGTTTTTTCTAATTTCAATACATTTTGTTTCTCGCTCAAATGTATCATTATTTATTTCTGGTGTGATTAACTAAATATTTTAAATTTACAATGCATTTTATATGATGTGTGTTACAACTTTGATCAATGTTTGGGATTGTGTTGAATTTGGACAATTCATAGGGCAGAAATAAATGATTCTTTATTTTCAGCAAATTGGATATCAAGATAAGATATCGTTTTTCAAACATAGCTTGAGCAGATAGTGTAGTGAATCCATTTGAGATGGTAAACAGAGATATTTCTGCACAATGGTGACCATGTTGTGTTGTTTGTAAAAGTTGTATTCTCACAACGGACTGAAAGCATGATTTTTTAGTGTTGGATCAATGTTGGATATAAATAGTGACAAGACATTTCAAAGCGAAATGAAAGCATGTTTGATGACAATTAGTCATTTAATTATTACATACTTTGATCAGTTTCTAGCTAAATGAATCTTGCTTTGCTTCTAAGTGATGAATTGTGTTTTGATCTAGAAAAAATTTAAAATGAAGAAACCTTGGGTTTTCTGTTTTGATTTAGCGTGTTTTCTTCTAATCATTGTTGTTATCCCATTTTATGATATCAATAACTTTAGCTGGTTATTGGTATAACTTTAGTTATATTTTTCCAAGTACTAGCACCTATCCAATTTTTCTAACTGTGTCTTTTTAAACTTTTATTGGTGATTTAATCTTTGTTAATCCATATTGTGTTTCGGTGTTGTGTTGTTCTGTGAAAGTTATGTTCTCGAAATGGACTCAAAGTATGATCTCTCAATCTTTTATCAATATTGGATATAAATAATGACAAGACATTACGAACAGAAATGGAAACATGTTTAATAACAATTAACCATTTAATTATTACATTCTTTGACGAGTTTCTTGCTAAATGGATCTCGCTAACTCTGGTAGATAAATTCTGTTTTGAGTCAAAGTAAATTTTAAATGAAAAAAAACTTGGGTTTTATGTTCTCATTCAATGTGTTTTGTTCTAATTGTTGTTGTTGTTTTGTTTTATGATATTCTAACCGCATGTTTTTAAACTTTCATCAGTCATTTAACCTTTGTTAACCAATAGTGTCTTTTGGTGTAATATTGTTTTGTTAAAGTTGTGTTCTCACAATGGGCTCAAATTATAATTTTTCATTGTTGTATCAATGTTTGATGTAAATAGGAACAACATACAAAGACAAATGAAAACATGTTTAATGATAATTAACCATTCAATTATTATATGCTTTGATGACTTTTTTGTTGAATGAATCTCACTTTCTCTCGACTGCATGAATTTTGCTTTGATTCAAAAAAATAATAATGAAAAAAACCTTGGGTTTCCAGTTCTGATTCAATGTGTTTTATTCTAATTGTTGTTGTTGCCCCATTTTATAATAAGGAAAACTAATGAAAATGGTTTGAAAACTTTGAATTTTAACGATAAGGACAAAATAAAGGGTAAAGTGAATAGTAACTGACACACCCTAACCCGAAGACTAGGACGTGTTGGCCGTCACGTGAGCGTGACGTAACCATAAACGCAAGCGGAAACGATTAAATAAAATACGAGTCAACGAAAACCACTAATTGCAGTTATTTACAACCTAGCATTCTATGTGCATAAGAGTGTACTAAACACACATAAACAGAGCATAAGCGTCTAGGTGTAGTCAAGTAGGATCATAACTAATTTACAACACCCTCGGGTGAAATCCTACATTTATTTAGTCTGTCAGAACGCCGAAGCAGTCCTCGTAGGCCACCAACGCCTCAACTTATCAATTAGAACCTGGAGGGGCGAAAAACAGAAAACGTGAGTGGGCGAAAATAAAGTTTTTCCAAATCATTTCATAAATCCACATTTATAACCCCTTTTTGGAAAACCTGTATACTTTCCCAGAAAATAATATATAGCATATATATATCTCAACCATTTTGATCATCAATTTTATAACAGATTCAATAAAGAATGTACCATGCCAATTTCGACAGTTTAGTATGAATGCATTGACATAATATAAATCAGGTAAAAGAAAGTAATCAATCGGAGGCCCTCTAATGGCCCTGAACGATTGAACCTAGAGCTCAAAATCTATCACTATCACTCTGCCGAAGTCACCTCTGTGACCTGTCCGGCCTTCTGCACATAAGTCGAAGCCACCTAATGTAGTCTGTACGACTTAATGGTTAATATTACGCTCTAGTGCTTCTCTCATCAATCATCTGTACACATAATCTAGGGTCACCCACCAGTCGAAATCTCACTAACACTCTACGACTGGCCTGTCGCACCCACTCCGCGTGGACTGTGCGACCAGCATCTACTTGGATCCAAGGCGAGCGTGCGATGCGGTGAATACTATAAGCACTAAACCATGGTGCAGGATTTGAGCTCAATATATATCATCAACATGATAACACTAATTAAATACTTACCTGTGCGTTCACAGCACCACCTTACATATATGCATCATACGACAGTTCATAATATTCATAACATTCTATGCATGGCAATCAAATCATATTTCATTTCATTTCAATATACTTCTCATTTAAATTTGATTTCTGGGGAAATCGAGTATATAGGTATATATATAAAAACAAATGCCCACTCACTGGTATGTCGCCGGGTCGTAACCCCCTTGACGCCCCTGGATGTGCTCGTCCTCGTTATAAGTCCCACCTAGAAGTGAAATAACTAAAAACGTCATTTAACGCACAATTAACGCACCTAAACCAAACTAGGTAATTAATTCTTCATACGATGCTCAAATTGGGTATATGAATATACCACAGTGACCTACACAACCTCAGGATCATCCCCATATTTTTAAAATAATTTTTGGAGGTCTCACGCGCCCCCACGCGCCTGACGTGGCACGGACCTACGCGCCCCCCATGCGCGGCCACGTGACATGCACACTGACGGCTACAGTGAACGGCGTTAGGGAATATTCCGTCAAATCCTAGTATATTCCGTTAAAAACTAACGGTTTCCGTTAAAACTGACTAACGGCGTCAGAATATTCCGTCAAACTTGACGGAATATTCCGTCACCTTCAACCTTCAGCTCCGGCGACCGTCGCCGGCGCCGGAAACTGGGAAAAATTTCAATTCAACTAATCTCACTCGTTTTTCGTCCAATTTCTTCGCATTTTATACCAAAATGAAGCATTTAACACCTACTATCACGTTGGAAGGTTTTTAAGGTCCAAAAACAACAAGATCATACCTTTCCAAATTTCACAAAACTCGGCCAACCTCGAAACCAGTGATCCCGACGTCCATTTTGTTCAAACGAGGCACTCCGAGCCTCCTCGTGACCTCCTTAAGCTCACTGTGAGCTTTGTTTAACCTAAAACACGGCCATATTAAAGTTTGTGAACAGTGCAAATCCACGGGGTGTTTTGAAACTAGGGTTTTTGAAATAGAACTCACCTGAAACTTGTACCCCCGTGCTCGTGAAGTTCCCAAGATCACGATGGTGATCTTAGATTGGACGTTCGTGTAGAATTGTGGTTGTTCTTGGTGTTTGCCGTGAGTTCGAGAGTAAGAGAGAGAGTGAGAGAGAGTCTGAAATGAAAGAAGAGAGAGAAGAAAGGTTACGGGTTTTAGGGAGTGTTTTGAGGGTAGGAGGTCCTACCTAAGTCCAAATATAATTTAACACATACAAATATAAATCTAACCCTAGTTTAGGATCTTAAAGTAAAACAAACACCAAAATTACGCACCTTAATCCCGTTTAAGGGCGTTATTGTAATTTCACGTCCTCGGTATTTAGTAATTCTGGGACGGGCTGTGACAGTAACAGAATTGACTTTTTAGTGTAAAAATATGGTTTTTCGTTAAAGTGAATAGTACCACGGGCTTTTCATTAAAACTTCCTTTATAATATGGATAACTCTTGGTAAATAATACTATGAGCTGAATTATATTCTTCAAACCACTCACATCTATCCAATTTTTTTGACTATGCCTTTTTAAACTTTGATGGGTGATTGCATGAATTTAGTTTTGATTCAAAAAAAATATTTAAATTAAAAAAACCTTGACTTTACTGTTCTGATTCCTTGTGTTTTCTTCTAATTGTTGTTGTTGCCTCGTTTTATGATATGGATAACTCTTAATACTTGTCATTTACAATATTCAAATTTAAGATCGCTTATTCATAAGTGAATAAAATATCATTAAGTTGTTGAACATCAATGTATGCGACGCGACGAACCAACCAAATATAAAATTATGAATAAAACTTTATTAATTAAAACGAAAGATAACACTTCAAATTCGTCGAGACGGCTATATAACCGTTACGATTATATTATGACAAACCTAATTCTCACATTAAATTACAAGCTGTATTTATAGAGAAGAAAACCTAAGAAATCTTAATCCACATGGGCTAGGCCCCAACCCAAACAATAAAGTAAATAATAATTTTCCAGCACCCCATGTCAAAGTCGTGGAGGTATACATGAGGTTGCCATTAAGCAGGTGCGGATGCAAGCTTCATTAGGTGGACACGACAAGACAATTTCCATTAAGTGTACACAACAAGACAAATTCTGTTAGACAGATACGACAAGACGGGCTATGTTAGGAGGA